TAATAATAATAATAAAGAAAATTGAAACAGAAAACGAACTATTTATGTAGTTATCACTTACCACCTTTTAAAGTAAGCCAAATAGTAATCATAATAATAACGGGAAGAGTGCAGGGCTTTAGTTGACAAAAAACAACGCAATTTTCAAAGTTTGAAAGGCTTCTCGCCTAACAAGACAAGAAAAAGTTACCTATACCGGCTAGTCGAAGAGTGTTTGTTTGATCTTTTAGTTCATAAGCTTGCGATTTCGGTTTCGTTGCAGCAATAATTCAATTAAGTAATCATTATCGTTCCAATTTATAACTGTGTTGTTTGTAACATTCATTCATTATCCTAGAGAAAAATATACTGTGGCTTTATTTAAGTGCTTATGTTAAACTGCATGTTGTTTTGTCCACTCTCCTCATCCACCCACGACCACTCCTCTCTTTTAATAAATTTCAGTTACACATCTCTCATCATAAAAATAAGTAATCGTTTAAATCGTAGGAAAAGGGCCCATGCAACAATATAGAATTTCAGGTAAAAGAAAGAAAATTAAATTTTTTTTTTTTTTTTTTTAAATTTCTTACTCATTCCATTTCAATCTTATTCAAATACCACTCCAAGGAAACAAATCCATGAACCATTTTTATCTGATTTTAATAAAAAAAAAAAACCAAAGCTCTCTGTAGATCTGCAGATATCGCCCGGTGAGAACTTAAACAGTGCTTCCTAGCAGACTATGGCACCAAATCTCTTCGCAATATTTATTATATTGAAGGGAAAACATTTAGAAAATCTTTCATTGAATCGAAAAAATCTAAAGATGCTTTATAACGGATAAACAAATGCTAATCGACATTCGCGTTACATTTGTCAAGTTTTAACTATGGGTTAAGCGAACGAAAACAAACTTGTATTTAGCGGGCTTTTCACTTCTTTCGCAAAACCGACTGTAATTTCAACTGTCGAAGAAGAAACCTTGAACGAAAGCGTATGTGGGATACGGTTCGTGAAACATCCTCCAAGATGCTTGTCGCTCTAATCCAGCGGTTGCTATTAATGCCACATCTATTTAATCAAAGTTGCGATTAGCATTAGCAAGATAATCTTAATATTGGTCAACCAGTCAACCATCTGCTTCCAAATAGAAAGAAATTTTCACATTCTGCCTATAGAGCCATTCATATGCGAAATATACCCGCGAACGAAGGACGCTTCTATACTAACATTATCACATCGTTTGTGACGACCAGAGAACTTGCACACATACGCATACATTCAAATTACCAAAAAGGAATATTAAGTGTCACTAAAATGGGCGACTATTTAGCCGTATATGTCGTCTTCTTCTTTAGTATATCGAAAACCGAATCGTATTTTTCAAAATAGACAAATTCGCAACTATCCGAGTATCTTGCCGTCCCTTTGCTTATTGTCATCTTCATTAAGCAAATTTGCGAATTTTTTTAAAAAGGTCCCTTTGCATTGATAGTATATATGTATTGTGGGTTCACACAAGTAGGGCCGATTTCGCATAATTAAAAACCAAGGTTATCTGTGATCTTCAAATTTATCTGTCCATCGTCATCTGGTGTAGTAGGCAAGCTCGACTTCGCAAAAATCAGAACCAAATGCTATGAAAATATCAAAAAATCTATCTGAATAGAGACGTAATCTACCCGTATTAGAGCTCGACGCACATTTCTTTTCATTTAATTTAAGCAACTCCACGTGGTTAGTATAGATTCTAAAGTGAGAGAGAGAAATTTGAAAATTTGTGAAAAGTTATATCGACATAAGGATTTTGGGTCGAGCGTTTAGCATCCATTGGCTTAAATCAATTTGTAAAGCATCAGTTCGCGCTGATTCAGATAAAAATTTGCTATAAGAATAAGGGTCCAATGTTTTTCTTATTTATTGATTTGTTCTCAATCGAATTAGGTTTAGAACTTAGTTCAATATCTGTTACGGCTTCTGTCTCTTTATTTGTCTAATTGAAAACGGATGCGATGGACTTGATGATGCCTATCCGCTTTCTATCTTAATTTTTACTCTCGCGGTAATTTTAGTAATAAATAACAGATGGACGAATAAACTGAATCGAAATCGACTTAGATCAGGTATTGATCAGTAGATGACCGATATTTATTCTGTATTATTATCGAGCTGAAAGACTTCAATGTTTGCCATAGATCATAACAATTTTTGGTGGAATTGATCATTTTCCATGTAAGGTTAAATTAAAGGAATCAATTATGAATTAAGTAATTAAGCAAATTAATTAGTCATTTAGAAGTACTTAGTAGTAGAAGACGGTACATTGACCGTCATGACGATACATCAGCTCATTGCTTCTATGGCAGACCAAAATTTCTCTCTTTAACAAAACATGCCAATATACTGTTTGAGGGGTCC